AATTTGCTGTAAAGGTACATACCAAAACATTGAAAAATCGAACTTCGTGCTGTTTTTGACTTCCTGTCGCTAGCACAAGTAGTGGTGATGATTACGGAGGGGTAGTTGGCGTGTTGGTTATCACCAAATTTAGTAGGCGGTAAGCATTGCGGGGCCTTGTGTGGGACCATGTGGCTTAAATCCCGGGCACGGGCCACGCCGGCCGTCCACCTAGTGATTTTGGCCGTCCACCTAGTGGAGCTCATTGTAAATGGGAGAACAAGTTACATGCAAACCTGAATTAAGCCGGTCACCTGACCTTGAACCTGACACTACCGCAGCCCTTCCTTATACAACGTCGTCACGTGGTATCTAGTGGTGGACAATTTTTTTCATTTGTTTTTGGCACTTTACCCCTCACCACCTTCGTTTAATCAACTCATCCATCTTGAGGAAACAAATATATCTAGATAATTACTTGCAACCCTCCATCGCGACGACTGCTTTAAGGAGGAAAATGCCTGGCCCCTCTGCCGCAGACTCGCTCCGCGCCCACCTCGCGTACAAACCAGAGCCCCTCAGATTCGGCACCAGTGGCCGCCGCGGCAGAGTTGTTGATTTAACCAACCTCGAAATCTACACAAATGTCCTGGCCGAGGTCCACTACCTCCAGTCTCTCAAAATCTCCGATGGCGGCATCAAATCTGGTGACGATTTCTATTATGCCTACGACCTCCGCCCCAGCTCTACCAGCTACGTGGAGAACCGCCGCGGCGCTCTCTGCCAGGCGGTCGAGCAGGCCCTGAGAGATGGAGGCATGCGGCCCGTCAACCTCGGCGCTATCCCGACGCCTGCCTTGGCCTATTACGCCATCAGGCATGGCAAGGGGAGCATCATGGTGACAGGGAGTCATATCCCCTTCGACCGCAACGGTTACAAGCTCAACACCTCTAGAGGAGAACTTATGAAGTCAGATGAGGAGCCCATCAACAGCGCTGTCGCCCTCAAGCGGGAAGAGCTGCTTAGCCAGCCATACGCTGAGTCCTTGTTCGACGACCAAGGCGTCTTCCGCCGGGAACCATCTAGCCTCATCCCTACTATAGCTGACGGCAGAGCCGCCTACATTCAGCGCTACCTTGATTTCTTCGACGGGGAGACGCTGGATGGCATGAAGGTCCTCATCTACCAGCATTCTGCAGTCGGCCGCGACCTTGTGGTGGACATCTTCCAGAGGCTAGGAGCTGAAGTCGTATCTACCGGCCGGAGCGAGACCTTCGTGCCGATCGATACCGAGGCCATCGACGAGGCTCAACTCAACACCATCCAAACCCTCTACGACAAGACAAGCCAAAAGTTCGACGCCGTGATCTCCACCGACGGCGACAGCGACCGGCCGCTGCTCCTCGCCCCCGAGTGCAACGACAGGTTGCGCTTCTTCGGCGGCGACCTCCTGGGGATGGTAGTCGCAGAGTTCCTAGGCGCCGACTCAGTCGTCGTCCCGATCAGCACCAACGACGCCATCGACCGCGGTTCGCTCGCCTCTGCGGTCGAACCTAAGACCAAGATTGGCAGCCCGTACGTGATCGCGGGGATGCAGCGAGCTGCGTCTTCTAGCTCCCAGCGGCGCGTGTGTGGGTGGGAGGCCAACGGCGGCTTCCTCACTGGGTCCGACATAGATCGCAACGGCAAGACACTCGCCGCGCTGCCGACCCGCGACGCGGTGCTTCCGGTTCTCTGCGCTCTATTCGCGGCTCGTAGCCGCAAGATGTCGCTGCCGGGGTTGTTCAACACGTTGCCCCATCGCTTTAGCCGCGCCGCTTTGATCCGGGACTTCCCCCGTCCGACGAGTGCGAAGATCATTGAGCGTTTCTCGCCTGCTGACGACGCCGTGTGCAAAGTTGAGTACCATGCCGACCATATCGCCGCCCAAGACGCCGACGGTACCCTCTTGCAAGTACCAGATTCCAGAGTCGAGCGCCTCGCGACAATCCGCCGGGATCTTCAGACCGTGTTCTCCGGACCGGACTTCGCCCCAATCGCCCGGCTCGACTACACCGACGGGGTACGAATCGTGTTCGCGGACGGCGATGTCGCGCACTTCCGCCCGTCTGGTAATGCCGACGAGATCCGCATCTACTCCGTCGCTGATAGCCAGGCTCGAGCTGACGCCATTGCCAATTTGGGGGTTGCGGAGCCAGATGGGTTGCTTAGACGGCTGGAGCAGATGGTCTGAGGCGTTAGCATCGCGGCTCAACCAAGGGGCTGATAACATGGATATGAATAAACACGCCTTGAGTCTCCTTCGTGGTGAGGTTTAAATTCGCCTCCCAATCTATCGTCGCCATCAACCCATCCCATGTATAAGCGCGCGTCTTTGCGGCGTTATAGTTAGCTATGTCCGCCCTGTCAAGACCAACTCATATATGTTAAGGGTGTGATATACATTCGTTCTCGTCCTTCTAATGTGCAAGAAGGGATGGTAACGGCTTACATCTATCAACCATAGCGATGGAAGTGATCTCTTAAAAGCGTGGGTTGGATGGATCCTCGAAGTGCGGGGTGGCGGCCGGGAGCGCTTATTTCCGGCGGAGCCTCAACCCGGACCTTGTGTCAGTCGCGCTGGGATTCTTGGTTCGTGCGAGTACACATGCCAGACGATGATGAGCTGTTCCTACTGAGCTACCGTGAAATGCCGGGTCAACTTGAGCAACCATCCCATACAATCTAGGGAAAAGAGCATAGCATGGACAACAAACGTTTCAACCGGAGTTCGGCACGAATACAAGAGTTTACCAGTTCCCCTCATTTGTTCCCATACTGGTGTAGTACGTCGCATGCGGAGGAAAGCCTAGCTTGTTAGTAACGCCTGCGATTGGAGGGATTAGCAATTGGGACCGTTCCATCGAACAGAACAATTCCCGCGATTGGAGGAACCAACAATCTCAACGCCTACAATTGGAGGGATCAGCAATTGGAACCATTCCATCCAACAGAAAAATTCCTGCGATTGGAGGAACCAACAGTCTCGACCACTCTGAATGAATGGCTTCTCGGCAAACTTTAACCCGTTAGAAATTTAGAAATCCAGCTTCAGGAGTTTACTTGGAATAACATAAATATTCAGAATACCTCCCATGAAATAGGTAATTGGACATTCCCTTCTGTACCATTAGGCTAACCTATCCCTTGTCTAATCCAACTTTGTCGTTGCCAGTCGGGAAACGAGACAGTGACAAAATGAAGGGTTTCATCATTGCATCCACGTTTCTTTCGGTGGTGGGAGGCGTGTTGGGAGGCGTGGTGTCGAGGAGCCAGGACGGCAAGGTCTTGATCTCACCTGCGAATGGAGCAAAGAACGTCAACCCAGACACACACCTCGTGCTCGAGTTTTCTTCCCCTCCGGCAATAGGTGACTCTGGTATGATCCGCATCTACGATGCTGCGGATCAGAAACTCGTTGATCAGCTCGACCTGTCAGTCCCATTCTCTCCAAGCCCATACGGTAATGGTTCGACCAAGGCCCCTACTGGCGACAAAACCGTTTACCAGACCAACATCATCGGCGGCATGGACTTCTACTTCTTCCCCATCATCGTCCGCGAAAACACGGCGACTGTGTATCTGCATAACAACAAACTCGCCTATGGGCGTACCTACATTGTCAAGATGGATGCCACGGTCCTCAAGCCCGACGAAGGGACTTTTGATGGTTTTTGCTCCTGGGTTTTCTCCACCAAGGACCAAGGCCCCAAGCCAGGCACGACGGAGGTGGTGGTCGCAGCAGACGGCTCCGGCGACTTTAACACCGTCCAAGGCGCAATCGACTGGGCGCCTGCGAACCCAACCAAGCGCACCAACATCCTCATCAAGGACGGCAACTACGAGGAGTTAGTGTACTTCCGGTACAAGACAAACCTGACCATTCGCGGACAAAGTCGCAACAAGACGATCGTGGGATACCCCAACAACAGCGCCTTCAACCCCCCGGGCCGCGAGGGACCGTCGCGCCGCCCGGCGTTCTCCTTCCACGGGGTCAGCGACGTCCAGCTCAGCACCTTCACCATCAACAACTACTACAGTGGCCAGGCCGAAGCGCTGCTCGTCGAAGGCGTGCGCGTCTTGCTCGACCGCCTGACGCTTGTTGGCTCCGGCGACGCCTTCACCACCTATGGCACCATCTATGTTGCCGACAGCAAGCTCACGGGTGATGGCGATACCGTGCTGGGCTACGGGTCGGTTTACTGGCTGCGCAGCGAGATTGTGTCTAAACGTGGGTCGGTGACGTGGACGCGCACTGCACAGGGAGACCACGGCAACGTCTTCGTGGACAGCACCATCAGCGGCGGCGAGGGGTCCAAGGTCACGTTTGCGCGTCTGCCCGACAATTCCGGCGGCGTCATGGACAACTGGCCGTTTGCGGAGATGGTACTTATCGACACGAGGACAGCGAATGTTTCGCCTCAGGGGTGGGGTCCCGTCCAGGGCCTGCCGTTTGACTCCAGTCAAGTGCGTTTTTGGGAATTTAACACGATGGATTTGGAGGGGAATCCTGTGGATATGTCACAGCGGCTGAATGTTTCGAGGCAGCTGACATTGCCGGCAGACGCGGATATCATTGCTAAATATAGAGACCCAGCTTATGTGCTTGGAGGATGGACGCCAGTGGTGCTCTCTTAAAGCGGAAAGCCAAGGATTGATAATGCGTATGGATCAGAGCTTGGGGCGTGACCTGTTGAAAAAGGAATGCGGATTTGCGCGCCCAATCGCCTGATGTGCACTACTTAGACCGTCTCTTGGCAGAAAAGTACATCTGTAGAAGAAACAACTTCAGACGACAATACCGTACACACCAGAGAAATCTTCTCGCTCCCCTCAGTCTAGCCCTTCTCAACTTTCTCTTCCTACCCAAACACGGGTAGCAAGAGCCCTCTCCGATACAACTGTCGCATAGGTTGGGAAACACGAAGTAGCTCTGCTGTCTCAGAGAGCTCTCCACTACGTTATGTGAGCGGGCTCTCTTCACACATCTCTCTCTAGACCTCTCCTTTCATCGTTCTTCGCGCAACAACTCATCTCATCTTGCCTGTACGTTTGAATCATGATGGTAGCATCTACCCCCACGCAGTGGATCCCCATCGCAGCTATCAAAACGAAAAAGAAAAGGCCCACCGAAACCCTTCCGATCCCCATCCGATCCAAAGCGGACCTAGGGGAATCCAGAACCCCCAACTACTAGTGCTGCTGCGACTCCCAGTCTCTGTCCCACCGTCGCCTCCAGCTAACCAAGAGACAATGAAGATACCAACCACCACCGCAAACATCACCGCCGCGAAAATCAAGCAACGCCGCTGCTCCCTCTCCATCTCCTCGTCAGACCTCCTCTGGAACTCCGTGAAGGAATTTGACGGAGGCGGGGGCCACGTCGAAGGAAACACAGCATGGGAGTCTGACGGGACAGTTGACCAAGTCGTGGTACCGTCCGCGCCAGAGCTACTCCCAAACATCGTGGGGCTGCCCGCGTACATGGCGCCGCGGGGTCCGGGCCCGACACTTCCGCCGCCGCCGTACGAGACGGTCGACCCTGGCGGGAATCCGAAGGAGCTATCTTGGGCTTGGAGCGGGAGAGAATTGCCCACGCCAAAGTTGAAGCCCCTGGAGGTGGAGGTGCTGGTTGTGTAAGAAGTCGTCGTTGTCGAAGACGACCCAGAACCTGGGCCACGCAGGGCTGGGTCGATGTTGCGCTTTCGCCTATCGTCTAGGGGGTCCATCGGAATGGATCTTGGCCTTGCCTTGTTGGGTACATAAAGGTTGCGGATTGTTAGGGCGCGGATCAGTTGATACTGTTGGGATGGATTGCCTGATTGACTGTGTGGAGAAGAATTGAAACGAGGATGGGAATCAGTCCAACCCCCAAAAACTGTCGGACCAACATTCCTCCGCGAAATACACCAGTCTGACATTCAGTCCACGTGACTTGGAAGCACTGCCACGGGCCTGCATTGTTCACTATTGAGAGAAGCTGGCAACAGCGAGCAAAGAGGATTAGTTACTATATATGCTGGCAGTCCGTCATGTGAGTTCCGCAGAGGAGACATCAGCAAAGGAATGATCAGCGCACGCATGCTTTTCGCGCATACTTTTACAGTGAAATGTGTCAATGGTGAGATTGATGGGGTCGATTCTGATAGTGAAATCTATAACTCAAACCGTTCATAATGCAACCTGCTCATCCAAACGTATTGATTTGGGAATTCTTCCAAGATCTTCCCAAGGAAGAGATGCCAGCCATCATCCTCCCACCCCCGACTCTCCGCCTCGTGTTTGACCATAGCCGTTGCATATTCCCAGTATGACGGATACCATCCCGACTCTCCCCAGCCGAGAAGCACCGCCGTTCCGTCCTCCCGGATGATGATATTCTTCTGCCGGAGGCTGTTGTGAGTGAACACGGGAGTGTCGTTACCTCGGAGCACCTCGGGGAGGACGCGACGGTAAAACTTTGCTCTGTACCGTATCGAGCTGGGTGCGTAGCACTCATACGCATCGAGTATAGCTTGTACGAGGTCGTTCTCGGTACGCAACGGGCCGCGGCTGTCATCGTATCCGTAGAACGTCCCGTCGTAGAGTTTTTCTCCTCGCAGGCTGCAAAAAGATCCCGGGGATGGACATGGTAAACCTCGGAGGGTGTCGAAATTCCGCCGCAACTCAGACGCGATGGAGTCCTTTTTGCTGTCATCTAGGGTCGGCCATAGGTTCTCGAGGCTATCGCCAGGGATGTACTCCATCACGACGTACGTTACGAGGCGGTTATATTTCCCTGGCCGCTGGTAAACTGCAAAGAGTTTTGGGAGCAGGACGTCCGTATTTTCCCGGATATATCGGAGGTTCTCCCCTTCGATCGGAAAGACATAGTCGCCGTACTTGACAACATAAGTGTCGTCAATACAAACACAACGAGAACCTGTATCCTCCTGGAGAACCTCGTTTGCTGGCGAATTTTCGATCACCTCTAACGACGGGAGAGGTTCCGGGAGCTCCGAGGGTTCGACACAGAAAAGGAACGTTCTGTCGTCTGGTGCGACGGGTTCGCTCTTTCTGCCAGTTGGTTGGCGATTCTTCTTTTTGGAATACCTCATTGCGTATGGATATGGAATTTGCTTTGCTCGGTGTTGAAGTGAGAGATAAGTTAGTAAGAATTGGAAAGATGAGAGGGTACGCTGAGGTTTAAATACCCAGCCGGATGGCTAGGCATTAAGGTTTACAGCGTGACTCATTGGCAACTTGCATTAAGTTTGAGCTTGAGTTTGAGCTTGCGCATACTATGGCGGACATCGGCATTGAGAATTGTTTAAGGTTGTTGAGATTGAACTGACAGGAGCTTAAACTCGTGATGCAAGAAGGTGACTCATTCCCAGCTGAGTTGGCAAGGTTGAGCTACCGCACAATGTCCGAGATGCCTACAATGATTGGGGTTAAAGTTGACAATTCTGAGTCCGTTACGCTGAAAACAAGCTCTCATCACGTCTGAACATTTCTGTGTCGACGCTCTCTCTATGGCATCAAGCAAATGTCTTCCACAGTAAAGGCGTCCCAAGTCTAAACCTTTCAACAAACGCAATCTGCTGTGAGGAGAGAGGTGGGAGGGAGGGCAAGAAGATTCGGCTAGAACGAAACACACACCTACTCAACCAAGGGAACCACCCCTAGTCTGCCAGTTCACACAAGTTCACACGCCGCCCTCGTCCGTTCTTCCTCCTCTTCCAATTACCCTCTTCAAAGCTCACCGTTAGAACTCTCGTGTGCTTCTTAGTGACATCGATGGTGACCTTGGTGACGGCGACGGCGGTAGCACTGGCGACAGCGACAGGACATCGATGGGGAAAGCAGCTGTTAGCCATTTGGCAGGAAGATTGTAGTGCATCTCAACGCTAGATTAACGCACTGCGTCCCAACTACCTAGCTGTCTCCACCACTCTCCAAACTCCTTATCAACCCACTCGCCCAGCCTCACCAGCGCCGCTCTCACTTGATAACACCCCTGCAGCGTCTTCGTGCTCCCAACCACAACGCTCTCGTATATAACAGTCTTCCCGTCCCTCCTTTCCGCAAAATCCACCCTCCACGACGCCCCATACACAAACACCACCGGCAGCACCGGGAGAGGGACCCCTCCGCCGGCCCTCTCGACGAGCAGCGCGAGATGGCGGAAGTGGGCGCGCACCCAGTTTGCCAGCTGCGACGGGCCTCCGATGCCGTCGGCACGGAGGCTCTTAGTTTCGATGCTAACGGCAAGGGGGGTCGGGGCGCCGTCGCTGAGCTGAATGTGAGAACAGGGTAGCAGTATGTCTGGGGAATGGGAGAGAGAGTCATTTGGGTTATTATGTTCTGAGGGGTGTTGAGAGAGAAAGAGGCCGTAGTCGACCTTGTTATCGCCAAGGAGGGGGTCTGGGTCGCGGTATTCTGGAGATACACGGCAGCAAGTTCTGTTAAGCAAGAGGGAGGTTGTTAGCGTTGGAAAAACACACTTTGAGCGTGCTAGGAGATGGACTGGGTAGGGTGTATACATGTTCCTGTAGTGGACAGCGTTGTGGCCGCGAATGGATTCTGCCAAGATAGGCGCGTGCACCGAGTCGTTCCACGCTGGCTCGTGCTCCATCTTTCGCTCGCATGTCTTTGTGTTGGTCCATATCTCGTGCAGGCGCCAGTGCTGACATATCAGCATTGTCCTGCCATCCGGATCCAACATATCTTCCTCTTGATCTGTGTTGGAAACAGAGCCAGAAGACCCCGTGGCTGCTGCTTCGGAATTCTGAGTCGCGGTGGTGCGAGGCACGGGGTGGAACCAACGGTCGGGAGCTCGACGAAGACCGCTTTGCCTTTGGACGGATTTCCTAAATGTTTCGGGGATGACTGCGCGGTCGCCGTTGCCGATCTCCTGGAGATCTCCTACCAATTCCAGGGTGTTCTCTCCGATATCTTGGGGCATGTCGGATATGTCTCGACGGTCGACGGGAAAATTGGTTGTGGTGCGAAGCGCAAACTCCTTCTTGCGCGGGCTTCGAGAGCCGCGGCTGGCTGAGGAAGTCTTTGTCGAGCTGGAGGAAACAGACGATGCATCTTGACTCTCGGCATCTATGAACCACTAGTCAGCGTATAGGCAGGAGCCAAATGGTGTCGGATAACATGGTAGCGGTTGGGTCATACATCGTGCAGGTCGTGGAGTGGTGAGGTCGTCGTCAATGTCGCCGTGGCGCGGTCTTTTAGACGTCTTGGTTGGGGTCAGCGTTGGATTAAACAATAAAGGCACGTCGCGATCCGCCATTAGCTGCTCGATCCAAGACTCAATCCAAGTGCTACTGTCAAAAGAATGGCTGATACTGGGCATCTTGGATGCAGTTGCGACAAATTGTGGTTGGTTTTGGCGCGTCAGTTTGGAGTTTGTTATGCGCAATGTTTATTTCGATTGCTGTTGCCCCACCCTAGCCTGTTGTCCCAGTGACAGTGGCGAGTTTCCCCGAATTTTACAGGGGCTGTGCCGCTTATCTCAGCCCCCAAGTTTTTGTGGACGCAGGAGTGCACGGGCCTGCCACGCCGCAATTTCGTCGGTGATTGCGAATGGTATTGCCTTTTTTGTTGGCTATTTCATAACCAAAAAGGATGCCTGCGACAGATTGCGACAGCAGTAGCTATAGTAAGGCGTCTTTGGGAGTGCTATCGCAGGTGTGCGTCAAGACGCGGCGGGCGTCGGGGACGGCGGCGATCTTGGCGGTGTGCGGAGATGTAGCCAAGTTCTTAAACGTACTCTGCGAAGTCGGCTAGTCCTAGGGCAAGCGGTGCCGGTTTGGCATGGATGCCGTATTGCTGTTAGAGCAGTCGCTAGGAGAGAGGAGCGTGGACGGGCCTACGAGTTGGGAGGTGACTTTGGCTATGCCTGGCATGAGCGACATGATGACTCGGCGCTGGAGAGCCTGGTCCCGCTTCTTGGGCATAGGGAGACTAGCGGCATAGTAAACTGCAGCAGCGACAGTGCAGACGCTGCAGTCTAACGGGTTTGGCTGCTTTAGGCATGGCGCTTAAACGAATTGCCACTTGCATGCCATTCTTTGTAAAGACGACGTTATTATTGCTTATCTAGTCGCTAGCTGTAGCAAATCTTATTTACGAAACGTAGATTTGGTACTAAACCTACCTTTAAATATGGCGACAAGCATAGGCTATGCTTGTAGAAAATGTCATGTAATTTGAAATGGCGCTAGTGAAGACAGAGGGCAGAGCTTGTAGAGAAATAGAAGGCAGAGCTTGTAGACATTTTCAACGGTAAAATTGACAAAATCGGTATGCGTATAAAGCTTAAATGCAAGCGAAATCTTTAGTGCTATTTTCAAGTTAGTAAAATGCTTGTAGGTGGGAAAAGCTGTAGGTTTTGTTTGTTAGCATTACCTAAGCTAGTATAGCATTACAAGGGCTGACAATGCATTAGCCTGTTGTCTAGGGTAAATAGAGGCAAACAGTAGTGTAAGGCTATAGTTATAACTATTTAATAGTTAACCAAGACATGCATTTAAACTACTATAAAGCTATTTGTTTGTTTGCCTAAATACTTGTTTCTAATATGCAAGTGTAAAATTAAATGCATAGCAGGCAAGGTTATTAGTTATTTGCAAGCAAAGCATAAGTCTATCAAGCCTGGCAAATGGTTAAGGATTGCAAGATTGATAAGCCAAATCCTAGACATTACAAAAACCTACCTTAAATATAGCTAAGCTATGTAGTAGCTATCTAAAGAAAACGCTATACAAATTGCAGACTTACAATTAAAGACAAGAGGTAGCTGCTATAGAGAAAAGGAAAGTAGCTGCTAAAGACTTTTTCTTAGCTAAAATAAACAAAAGTAGTATGCTTTTAATTAGCAAATTGAGAAAAATCTAGCTATGAAACTTTTAGTTTCTTAAGCAGCAGGTGCAAAAAGGTAGAGCTATGTTAGAATTGTAAGCATTAGGGTTAGGATAAGTTAGAGCAAGATTGCAATAGATTAGAGTTAAAGACTAACAACTAGTTAAAGCAGCTATTTGATGCAAGGGTAGTATAATAAGAGTAAACAAAAAAGTAAAAAGAGGTTAAGATTTTAAGGTTGAGTAGAATAGTTTAAAGCATTGAGATATTGTTAGGTTAGCAAGAAATTATAAAGCTATTTAACTGCTTGCCTAAATACCTATTTGTTATTTGCATAAAATGCAAGGTTAGATGTTGTATAGGTAAGGCTAAAACCTATTTATGCAGAAAGCATGATTATATAAATGCAAGGCAGCAAGCAAAAGTTGTAAAGGTAGTAGAGAGATTAGAAGGTATTGTGCAAAACTAGGATAAGTTGTAGACATTTTAGTTTTTGCTACTAATAGTTAACCTAATCTTATTTATTGCATTACCTAAGTTTAACAAGTTGCAATGCAATAAGTATAGGTTTGTTATGCAAGGCAAATAGTAGATGAGAGATTATTATAGGAAAAAGCATAGATAGAAAAGCAGATAAGTTAGAAGTGGCAATATGGTAAAAAAAGTGAAACAAGAGTAGGTAGTGCTGTGAATAATAAGTGTGTATTGCTAGTGGTTTTTCTAGTTGCATATGGCAAGCAGGTAATTTAAGGTTAGCTAAGGCAGCAAGCTAGCAATAGTAGCAAAGGTAGATGCAAAGATATTAAAAAAGTAGCTAATACAAATCTATGCAACCTAGACAGTGCAATTCAAGTTAAAGAGGCAGTTGATTAAGGTAGGCAATAAGAAGGCTAAGCTAAACAAGTGGTTAGACTATGTTAGTTAGCTAATGCATTTGAAAGGTTTAGACCTAGCCTATCTCTAAATACAGCTAAGCTATGTAGTAGCTATCTAAAGAAAACGCTATACAAATTGCAGACTTACAATTGAAGATAAGAGGTAGCTGCTGTAAAGAAAAGGAAAGTAGCTGCCAAAGACTTTTTCTTGGCTAAAATAAACAAAAGTAGTATGCTTTTAATTAGCAAATTGAGAAAAATCTAGCTATAGAACTTTTAGTTTCCTAAGCAGCAGGTGCAAAAAGGTAAAGCTATGTTAGAATTGTAAGCGTTAGGGTTAGGATAGGTTGGAGTAAGATTGCAATAGACTAGGGTTGAAGACTAATGACTAGTCAGAGCAGCTATTTGATGCAAAGGTAGCATGATAAGAGTGAACAAAAAAGTAGAAAGGGGTTGAGATTCTAAGGTTAAGTAGAATAGTTTAAAGCATTAAGATATTGTTGAGTTAGCAAGAAATTATAGAGCTATTTGACTGCTTGCTTGAATACTTGTTTGTTATTTGCATGAAATGTAAGGTTAGATGTTATGCAGGTAAGGCTAGAACCTATTTGCGCAGAAAGCATGATTATATAAATGCAAGGCAGCAAGTAGAAGTTGTAAAGGCAGTAGAGAGATTAGAGGGTATTGTGCAAAACTAGGATAAGTTGCAGACATTTTGGTTCTTGCTACTAACAGTTAACCTAATCCTATTTATTGCGCTGCTTAAGTTTGACAGGTTGCAATGTAATAAGTGTAGGTTTGTTATGCAAGGCAAATGGTAGATGAGAGATTATTGTAGGAAAAAGCATAGATAGAAAAGTAGATAGGTTAGAGGCAGCAATATGGTAAAAAGGGCAAAACAGGAGTAGGCAATGCTATAGATAACAGGCATGCATTGCTAGCGGTTTTTCTAGTTGCGTGTAGCAAGCAGATAGTTTGAGGTTAGCTAAGGCAGCAAGCTGGCAATGGTAGCAAAGGTAGGTGTAGAGATATTGAAAAAGTAGCTAATATAAATCTATGCAACCTAGATAGCGCAGTTTAAGTCAAAGAGGCAGTTAATTAAAGCAGGCAACAAGAAGGCTAAGCTAAACAAGTAGTTAGACTATGTTAGTTAGCTAATGCATTTGAAAGGTTTAAATCTAGCCTAGTTACACAGCATGGTTAAGCTGATTAGCAAGGATAAGGTGATGTTGCAGTAGATGTGAGAAAGCATAAAGTAGGTGATAGAGTAGGCAAGAGAGGCAGTAGTAAAGCAGTATAGGCATGCAATGTTGTTTAAGATTAACAAAAAGGAGGTATATGTCAAGTAAAAGAAGCTATTTGACAGGCAAATAGAGAAGGATATGTAGGTAGATTATAAGAAGGTGTATTGCAAGTTGTTATGTTATATGCAGTAGACATAAGAATAGGATAATAGAGACTAGCTGCTATATGCATTTACCAAAAAGCAAGGTAATTTGTTTGACAAGTTTTGCAAGGTAGTAGAAAAGTGTGTGCAGGTAGAAGGCATAATGCTGTTAGATAAGGTAAAGTGGCAAAGGTGTGAGGACTAGGCAGACTAGTTGTGTTTGGATGCAATAGTTGCGTTTTTTGACTATTAATATAAGCATATGCTATACAAGAATGCATTGATTAGCAGGTTGGTAGTATTAGGATTGCGTGATGATAATGGTTAGTATAGGCTAGAGGATTATATGCTAAAGTATTTGGCAGTTATCAAGGTAGTGTAGATGTTAGTTGTATATTAGTTAGTAGTTAAGCAGTAAGACAAGGTAGCAGTGTTAGAAAAAATGATAAGTGTAAAGGAGGTGTAAAAGGTAGCAACTAGGTTGTTTAAAATTACCTAGCTAAAGGTTAAGTAGTTTATGACAGTTGTGTTAGACAAGTCTAAGCTAGGCCTAATAGATTAGATATTTGATTTGTGCATATATAAGATGCAGGTTTGGTTTACAATGCTAGCAGTAGGAATAGTTAATTAGGTTAGAGATTGGATTATATATTAGCAGATGAAGATTAAGACAAACAATTTGGCAAATATGTTGCATAAGATGGTTAGAAAGGTGAGGGCTAAATTAGGCAAGCTATTGATAGTAGAAGGCAATAATTTTAGGTTAGTGCTAGCGATTAAGTAGGGGTAGATAGAAGATGACTATAGCAAAGACTAGGTTAGATATTTATTTTTGCAAGACAATTGCAATAAGTAGTTAGCAAAGGGTTAGGGTTAGGTAGTGTGGCAGATTTTGCAGCAGGTAGATAAGCAGAAGGAGTAGATGGCAGTAAAGGGCAGCGACAAGATGCTGTATTAGGCTAAGGCAGTATGCAAGTATAAGTTGGCAGTAGAGTGGTTTTGGAAAAAGTTATTGCAATTAATGCATATGTTAGAGGAAATGCTAGCATAGTTGTGAGAGATTATAAAGATATAGCATTGCAATATAGCGTATAGCAAGGTGTGTAATATATTGATAGACTAGGGCATGGCAAGTTTTATAGTGTTATATTACAAGAATTACTGCAGCATAGGCAAGGTTAAGGTTATATACTAGTACTTGCTATGCAAGGTGAGTAAGTTGTTAGTATAGTATTTGTGATTGGTATTGCTATTTTGGCAGCAGATGCAAAGGATAGTCAAAGAGGTAGATAAGCTAAGTGTGTTTTTGTAGGTAGATGAGATTGTAAAGCGTAAGGATAAGGCTGTTGAGAAGGCAGAAGTTGAAGCAGAAGAAGGCAAGGTTAGAGACAAGAGAAAGGTAAAAGATAAGGTTATATAGGCAGTGTAGATCTAGGAGTAAAAGTAGACACTAGACTAGATGCAGCAGATTATGCAGTAGCATAGCAGGTGGTATCTAAAGGCGCAGGTTGGCATAAGCGTATAGAAGCATATTGCAATTGCAATTTTAAACTAGTATTTGAATAAGGCGTTTGGAGAAAATGTAGGCAAGGATAGCAAGTTTGACAAGGATAACAAGGGCATGTTGGATAGCATTTAGGATTTGCAGGCTAGATATAGCATGCATGTAGCAAAGATGATATATGCATAAGAGTTGCAGCAAAGGGTGTTTAGGATAGTTGCATAGTAGGATTAGTTTTAGGCAATTAGCTAGAAGTGGCATTGATTTTTCAGGTTTGGCATGGAAGATAAGGTTGCAAGGTTAAGGTTAAGAGGGAAATAGAAGCTAGATGTGTTTAACAGCATGTAAGAAAAGGCATAGTTTTAGCAGTTTACATAGTTATAGCAGGTAGATATAAAGGGTTAGTTAAGAGTTATGATAGGGAAGGAGGCATAGTTTTGCAGCATGTAGAAGAGGGTAATCTAGGCAATTATCTAAAAGAAGAGTCTGATTGTGCAGGTAGTAGGAATAGAGGAAGGTAAAAGCATGTTGTTTATGTTGCTAGCGTTTTGTTTGCTAGAAGGAGTGACAATTGTGGTAATGCTGTTAGTAGCATTGCAAGAGGATTTGCATAGGCAGTGCAAGTTATGTAGGATTGATTTACATGTTTGGCAAAGCTAAGAGGCAAACTAAGCAGCATTAATTGTGTTTGTAATGCTAGAGTTAGTAGTAACAAAAGGTTTCTAGTTATTTGTTAACTAGTTGCAGGCATAGGAGGCAGTTAGACTAGGTTTTTATAGACAAGTATTATATAGTGTTAGATAGCGATAGGATATTTTAGCTGCAGTTAGGCAAGTTAGGCAAGATGTTGTGAGAGATAAGAGTGTAGGTAGTATTTTTGACAGTGACATTGGCATTAGCAGATATAGAGAGGTTTTTTGCAAGAATAAGAGTAGACAGGTAGTAGGTTTGTTTGTTTAAGTTAGCAACAATAAAGAAGAATATAGGTTACTAGGTAAAGAGAGTTTTGACAGTAAAGGAGAAAGATAAAAAGGTGTGCTAGGTTGTATAGGAAGAGTTAGAGAAGTATAGGAGTAGGAAGGTGATTGTATATAGCAGAGAGGTTAAGCAAGTGGAATGGTTAAGAGAGTTATTGTTGTGTCTAGTGTTTTATAGCAAGGTGGATATAATGGAAGGCAAGACATGGCAGTTAAGAGAGTAGGTTAAAGGTAGTTAAGTAATTATGACAACAAATGCATTAGGGATAGGCATTGATGTTATAGATGTGCAGATGGTAGTATATGCAAAGGCGTTGCGTTGGTTGCAAGATTATGTGTAGAAGAGTAGGCAGGCAGGGTAGGATAGAAAAGCAAGCAAGGCAGTAATAGTTTGCAAAAGTAGCAGTGGTTAGAGGTGGCAAGGAGAGGGGATAGGCAGTTAGGTAAAGCAAAGAGAGGAGGGCAAGGATAGGTTAGTGTTAGAGGCGGCAATAGAGGAGTTTATAAAAGGGTTATAGTGCTAGCAGGTGGTATTAAACTAGGTGATAGACAGGCAAGAAAGCTGTGTGTGTTGCAAGGAAGGCAAGGAAGGGTGCAATGTATGCGAGTGTAAAGAGAGGTTAGGGTTGGTATTAGGAGAGATGGCAGCAAAGGTGAAGAGGCAGTTAGGTAAGGCAGTAGAGAAGTTTTTGCAAAGGCAATGCATGGCAGAGTAAAAGAGGTGATGGGTAGAAAGAGAGGCAATAGGGGAGTATAAGAAGGCAAAAGCGTTTTGGTAGTAGTTAGAGAGTTAGGTAGGTTGTTGCATATTGTGTTAGGTAGTAGGAAAGGAAGGGCAGTATTATAGTGCAAAGGAATGTCAAATGCAGAGTAGCAAAAAGTAGAAGGATATTAAAGATAAGGTGTGGCAGGTGATTAGAGAGATAGTTATAAAGCAGCAATATGAGAAGTTTTTAAGGTGTTTATATTGCAAAGTGCTGCAGGCGATATGCGATTAGTGAGAGGCAATTGATAGGGATAAGAGGTAGTTTAGAAAGGTTAGGAAGGTTAAATGTCAATATAGTAAAGTAATAGTGCAGATGTTTGTAAGATTGGCAGTGTAGCATAAGAAAGAGGCAGGGTAAGTAGTGTAGGAGTTGATAGAAAGGGATAAGGCAGATAGGTAGAAGATAAGGTAGTAGTAGAAGTGGTTTGGGAAGAGGATTAAATAGGCAAGGTTAAAGGCAAAGCAATAGTGTTGTGTGTTGGTATATTTAAGGTGGTTGGAAGATAGGTTTGCAGGGAAATAAAGGTTGTAGAGAACTAAAGGTTGCAGGGAAATAAAGGTTGCAGGAAATAAAGGTTGCAAGGAAATAAAAGTTGCAGGGAAATAAAGGTTGCAGGGAAATAAAGGTTGCAGGAAATAAAGGTTGTAGGGAAATAAAGGTTGTAGGGAAATAAAAGTTGCAAGAAAGTAATAAAGTAAAGTATATATTTTAAGTAAAGGTTTATATAACATGTAGTGTTAGTATAGTATTATGTTAAGTATATATTTAATAGTTAAAATAAAGTCAAGAAGAAAT